GAAATAATAATAATAATTAAAAAAATAAATCTTTATTCCCTGCCCCCCAACCCCCTCTGCTTCACGAGGGAGGGGCTGAGTCTGTCCCCGGGCTGGACAGACCTCCCAAAATGTTTGGGAAGGGGGGGACCTTCACGTTTGCTGAAGATTTGCCCCCATTTTGGGGTGTTTTTAGGAGGCTGCGGGGCCATGTACGAGATCCACATCGAGTCGGAGGAGTTCAGAGAGAAGCGGACGGTGCAGCAGCACCAGATGGTGAACCAGGTAGGGTGTGTGTGTGTGTGTGTGTGTACCGGGGTCTACAAAGCGGGATGCCCCATAGCAGAGCTCATCCTTCCCAGTAAAAACCAGCACGTTTCAGTTTAAACCAGCAAGGCTGCGCACATTGCAGTGCCTCTTCCCAGCAGTGAAGAGCATTCCCTGTCCTTCCCCCCACCCCAGTAATTAACTGTCATCCTTTTTTCCCAATAATCAAGTGTATCCATCTCTTCCCAATAACAAGGGCAGCTCCCCCCCAGTAATTCAAAGCACAGCCAGCCTTTTTCCCCCCAGTCAACAGCTTAGTCCTTCCTTCTCCTCAACAGTGCAGCCCATCCGTCCCTCCCCTGCCAGAAATAAAGTGTAGCCCTTCTTAACAGCAAGGGTTGCTGTGTGTGTGTGTCCCTGTGTCTGTGTGTCCCTGTGTCTGTGTGTCCCTGTGTCTGTGTGTCCCTGTGTCTGTGTGTCCCTGTGTCTGTGTGTCCCTGTGTCTGTGTGTCCCTGTGTCTGTGTGTCCCTGTGTCTGTGTGTCCCTGTGTCTGTGTGTCCCTGTGTCTGTGTGTCCCTGTGTCTGTGTGTCCCTGTGTCTGTGTGTCCCTGTGTCTGTGTGTGCCTGTGTGTCTGTGTGTGCCTGTGTGTCTGTGTGTGCCTGTGTGTGTGTGTGCCTGTGTGTGTGTGTGCCTGTGTGTCTGTGTGTGCCTGTGTGTGTGTGTGTCTGTCTGTGTCTCTGTGTGTGTGTGTGTGTGTGTCTCTGTGTGTGCGTGTGTGTCTGTGCGTGTGTCTGTGTGCCTGTGTGTGTGTGTGTCTGTCTGTGTCTCTGTGTGTGTGTGTGTGTGTGTCTCTGTGTGTGCGTGTGTGTCTGTGCGTGTGTCTGTGTGTGTGTGTCTCTCTGTGTGTGTCTCTGTGTGTTTGTGTGTGTGTGTGTCTGTGTGTGTGTGTCTGTGTGTCTGTGTCTGTGTGTCTGTCTGTGTGTCTGTCTGTCTGCGTGTGTGTCTGTGTCTGCGTGTGTGTCTGTCTGTGTGTGTGTCTGTGTCTGCGTGTGTGTTTGTGTGTGTGTGTGTCTGTGTGTGTCTTTGTGTGTGTGTCTGTCTGTGTGTCTGTGTGCGTGTCTGTGTGTGTGTGTCTGTCTGTGTGTCTGTGTGCGTGTGTCTGTGTGTGTGTGTCTGTGCGTGTGTGTTTGTGTGTGTGTGTGTGTGCGTGTCTGTGTCTGTGTGTGTCTGTCTGTGTCTGTGTGTGTCTGTCTGTGTGTGTGTGTGTCTGTCTGTCTGTGTGTGTGTGTCTGTGTGTGTGTGTGTCTGTGTGTGTTTGTGGGTGTGTCTGTGTGTGGGTCTGTGTCTGCGTGTGTGTGTGTCTGTGTGTGTGTGTCTGTCTGTGTGTTTGTCTGTGTGTGTTTGTGTGTCTGTCTGTGTCTGTGTGTGTGTGTGTCACACTGATGGTGCAGTTACTTACACACATCGCCAGCCCCCCTGCCACAGCCGTTCCCAACAGCTTTTCCTTCTTCATAGCTCTGCATGCACACACTTGGTGGTGGTGTAGGTGCACACGGGTGTTGAACCACAGCCTGTGCACACCTGTACTGTGTGTGTTTCACAGTGCTCCCTTTCCCCCTGTAAGAAATGGCATTTCCCTTCCTGAGCAATGGGGGGGGAGTTGTGTGCACCCATGGGTGCTGTGCCTGTTTTCACCCTGTGTGCATCACCCAGGGCTGGTGGTGCTGTGCAGCACTGTAGGAAGGTGATGCTGATGCTGTTCCTGTTATACAACTCCTAATAAAAACCTCAGTGCAGCACTTGTGGGCACGTGTGTGACAATAAAGTGTGGTTTTGTGCATTATTAATCACCCAGTGCTGCACTTCACGCTGAAAATCTCTCACAGTGAGCACGTGCAGCACTCGGTGATCCCCTCAGCCCCCACCTCTGTTGCAGGCCCTGAGCGAGGAGATCAAGAGCATGCACGGGCTGCGCATCTTCACCTCCACCCCCAAGGGCCGTCAATAAAGATGCTGAATGGTGCTCCCCAGGCTCTGCTGGTCATTGAGGGGGCTCTGCCCCTCATCTAAAGGCTGGGGGCTGCAAGGCAAGGGGGCAGGAAGAAGAGACACCCCCGCTGCCTCTGACAGGAGAGCAGGAGAAACTTTATTATTGCCGTGCCACACAGGTGGGTGCCCCCCTCAGCCCCCCACAAAAAGGGGGCACCACCAAGGAGCTGCTCCCCCAGGCAGGGCCAGGCACTTCTTGTGTGTGTGTGTCCCCCCCACAACGCCACTGCCAGGGGGAGCGTAAGGCTCAGTGCACCTCACCCGAATAAAGCACTTCCAAAATCAGCCCCCAGTGCTGTGTGTGTGTGTGAGGAGCAGGTGAAAACTTTGCCTCCGGGAGGAGCAAGCAGCCGCGCAGCGCTCGGAAATTCACCCCATGGATGTAGGAAACGAAATCGGCTCCGAGTCTGGGTCTGTCCTCAACCAGGCCACACGGAGCCTAAAAAACCAAGTGAGCCCTGGAAGCGATGCTCGGCCTCCGGCGTCTCGGGGCTTGCGTCGCTGCAGGCGAAGCGGAGAAGTGGCTGGCGAAGGAAGCGGAAAGGAGCGGCCGAACGTTTTATCTGTCCTTGGAGCCCAGCTTCTCGATCAGTTCCTGCAGAGGAGCCAACTCCCGCCTGTCGATCAGGTTGAATTCCTGGCAGGGGGGTGGAAAAACAACACAAAAACTAAAGGGGTGTCTCAAAAATGGCTGGAAAAGGTGGTGTCTGTGTGCTGACGCCTGAGATAAACGGCAGCAGCAGCTGCTTGTAGAGAAATTCAAGTATTTTTAAGACAACAGAACCTTTTCTGCTGTGTCACCAGAAGGACGCTGCTGCTCTGCCCGTGCAGTCACACACAGGCCGTTAAAATACCAGTAAGGAAAAATAAAAGGTGCTGCTGCTATTTCCAACCCGATTCTTGAGCTACAAACCCCCCAGGTTCTCCGCTGTGCCTGGTTTCTTTTGCTGCAGGCCGATAGCTAAAACCTGAGAGGGAAATTCAAGCATTTACAGCCAATTTGGCCACGTTTCCTGCAAACAAAGAGAAACAACCCCAAAAACTCCACCACCACAAATGTGCAGTGCTGCAGCTGCACAGTTTGTGTGATATGAGCCAATCTTCCAGTGCAGATCTTCACAAAAACATCCAACTCCCTTAAAAAGCAAACAGAACAAGAAGCCTGGGCACTGTTTTTGTGACTGACCTGCACAAAGAAGATAAAGTGCTTGAAGGAGGTGTTGAGGTGGGCCTCCTCCTGCAGCCGCATGACGGAGTCGAAGTGCTGGTGGTAGATGTGGGCGTAGACGCGGAAGAGCCGCTTCAGGATCGTCTTGGCCACCGACATGAAGTTTTTGGGGAAAGGGACGCCTGAATCACAGAATGTGAGGAGTTGGAAGGG